CCTGCTGCCCACCTGCGCAGCCGGGTGCGGGGCGGGACCGGCCCTGCCGCTTGCTCGCCGTGTGAGTTTATGACTCGGAGCTTTTGCTTCTGCAGCTGTGGAGCGGGGTCGGTAAAGCCATGTTCCGTGTGGGGTTACTGGAAGGAGGCGCCAGGGGACGTGTGTGCCGTAGGTGCTCGGGTTCTTCCCTAGGGACCCGCCCCAGGGCCTGAGAACGAGGTGGGGATACCCCGGCCCCGGGGAAGGCCCTTGAGCCAGGGCTGGAGGAGGTGCCCTGAGGCTCTTACAGATCTCTTCCCTGTGGGCGTGACCGTCGACCACTAGCGTCATGTTTTTGCTTTAAGTTAACATTTTGCTTATTTTTAAAGTAATGGGTATTTAGTATTTTACAAAATGGACAGACCAAAAGGTAGAGTGAAAAAAGGTCCCAGTCGTAGTACTACTTCCTGAAGATAAGTTCTGGAAGCGATATGCAAGACATTTTCCACAAGAATTCAAATATAATCATGTTATGCATAACGAATACCCCCGTCATTGCAGAGCGTCTGGCATGTGGCAGGGTGAAAAGGAGGTAATAATAGCTTTATGGTCCCTTCGCATCCAAATTCTCTCTCCTTAAGCTCCTTGAGCAGGGGCCTGCTTCTGATTGCCCCTCAGCGCCCTTCGAGGTGTCAGACAAGTGAGCATCCAATAAAAGGAGGGAGAACATGGCCCCCACCCTAAAGGAGGCATTTGGGGTAGAAGAGGCACACCCACAGAAGGCTCGAGAGGCATATTGAAAGGAGCTCTGAACTGACGCTCAGTTTATTTAGCTTCTAATCTAGGCTCTGTGGGTCAGAACTACTCAGGTGAGGATTTTCACCTGCGAAGTGAGAGTTGCTTGAACTCAGGCCCTGCCAGTGTGAAAGGTGGTGGTTCCAGGAGGCAGGGCTTTGCTCTGAACTTTGTTGCCTGTAGGCCCCATCACATATACACATACTCTTGCAAAGGGCCTGCAAATCCTTTCTCTCAGATTGGCAGCTTGATTGTTGTTTGGCCATCTTGGCTGTCACCTGGAGCTTGGAAACATTCTTTAGTAGAAACTGAGGTCCTAGTGGCATCTGTGAATCTCTGTGGTACCTTTAGGCCATCTGAACTGGACGTGGCCCTTCTTTTCTCTCCCTTTTCTACACTTGCTTCCTTGTTCTTTCCCACCCAAAGTAGAAGAGGAGACAAATGTCACTCCTGGACCTGAGAGTTCTACTAGGAAGCTAATGACTTGGCCTTGATTGGGGTAGAATTCCTAGAATAAAGGGCTCTCATAATCACAGATTCTTCTTCCTGGTATTGTCCTCTCTCTCCCACTTTCAGGGGCTGATAGGAAGATTCCTAGTCACTTAACATTTGCTGAACACCAGTCACATCCTAGTTTCTGTGGTAGGAGCTCTCAATTTTTTTCAGAATTTGTTTAAAAAAATTTATGTACAGTAAAATTCATTCATTTGGTGTTCAGGTCTGTGAGTTTTGACAGATACATGGAGTCACATATCCACCAGCAGAACAGGTCCATCACCCCCAAATTCCCTCGTGCTCTCCCTTTGTGTACCCCCAACCCCTGGTACTACTAATCTATTCTCCAATCCTTTAATTTTATCTTTTCTAGAAAGTCTTATAAATGGAATCATAGCTTTTTAATCTGGCGTTTAGCTCAATGTGTTTTAGATTGGTTCACGTGTTGTATCAACTTTTGTTCCTTCTGCTTGTTGCCCCATAGCTTTCCATCCTATGAATGTGCCACTGTTTACTTCTTCCATGTGTCTTTAACAGCAGCCCTTTGAAATATTATGTATCCTTTAGACAGTGAGGAACTGCAGTGGGAGATGCTAAGTAGCAGAACTAACTTTTTTTAATCCTTACCCAAGGACATGTTTATATTGATTTTTTTTTTTTTTTTTTTTTTTTTT